TTACATGCAGAACTGCTTTGTGTTTTAAACTCCAAGACAAAATCCTCAGATTGATCAGCTCAGACTGATTTAAAAAAATAGGCAATATTTTTTCATGTGCATTTCAATCCTAATTTTCATGTAATCCCTGCATCACATTTTGACTTTTAGTAACTTGGGTCTATGACATATACTAGGACAATCCATGTGTTCATCTCTGTAGCTGGCTGATCCTCCCTACTTATGATTTTGCAGAAATCTTTGCTTACATATGCAACACAATCATGCTTCTGTGATAAAAGAAGGAGCTTGGATGAGATGATTCTATTCTTAGGGGTTTAGTGTTACCTCTCTTGTTCTCACCAGCACCAGTCTCTTACTATGTCCCCACTTGTACTTTGCATATTAAGAAATCTCCCACGGGGCACTGGATGACCAAAATTTAATTACTTGGAAAGTGAACTATTAACAAAAAAATATTCATTCAACCATGTTTATAATAAAGACCATACCTGGCATACATGCTCAAATACTCTTGAAAACAATAGTTTTCAAGTCTCACAAAATATTACCCTGTCTTTATTTTTTAGTACCAGTTATATTTTTATCTTAGAAGTCACCTTCCATATTTTTAATTGTTTTTTAAAGTTGTTTAACAGTGCACAGCTGTCTTCATTTCATGTTGCTGGAATAAAGTGTAATAGGCATGCTCTTACTAACTGTACTTATGGTTTCATACACCCAGTTGTCGCCATTAGTAAGTCACAAATTGCCAACTGTTACCACATTGTAAAATCCCAGAGAGATATACTATGCTAAGTGCAGTCAAATTGCTCTGGTATCTAAGATACCAGTGCGTGGTAACTTTTGGCAGACACTAACTGTTTAATAGCTCTCAAAAATCCCAATAATTATTACTTAACCTTCTATCACAATTGATATCCCAGCTGGCAGGGAAAAGAAGCCAAAACCAAAATAATAATGCAATCCAAACTAACCCTATATAAAGTCAACCAATTTCAGTGGTTTCAAAATAAACAAGAAAGAAAAACTGTCATAGAAAACATGGCTTTCTGTTGTCAACATCCCTATCTAAATGTGGTGTCTTGTGCCACACAGAATGTGTTTTCTTAACAGACACTATAGGTCTGCATCTGGCAGAAAAGTAACTATAAAGAAGTATGGACAACCACAGTGAATCCTTAAAGTTTGTATACATATGTGACAGTAGATTTAAACTGCACAGGCATTCATCCTACTTGTCTCATAGAGTCAGTTCCCATACCAAGGTTTGTCGAATATTTTAGGAGGCAGCTCCTGAAATGTACTAAGACAATAGATCATCAGGCTGACAATGAGGACCTGTTTCTTCATCATCCACTACAGGGACTGCAAACTACAGACAAAGATGCTGTTGGCATCCCCTTTTTATCTGTGATCACATAAATCTGAGGTATTAAGCTTTGCTTATGAGAGAGGTTATGCTGTTCTTTATACCGACATTGAAGGTACTTAGAAAAACAATGCTCATGTGTACACCAGTATTTCTCATCAAGACAAGCTCATATTTTTTGTAACTCCATTGTATCCAAGGGAATCATGCCTACAAGTAATTTGTCTAATCCATTCAGTTCAATTCAAGGTCTGAAAAACTACAAAGAGAAGACACAGATTAGATATCCTGGGGTTCACTGATACTGGATTTAAAAAGGAAAAGAGTATCAACGCAAACCAAGATGAATACAATTTGTTTTTAAGGATAAGGGATGGAAATTGTTACAGCAAAGAAATCTATGTAATCCTTAAAAAAAAATGGAAGTATGAAGACAGTAAAGCAGGAAAAATTATTGGTATTTCAGTCTCCAAGTGTGTTATTTGAAGACAATTTCAAGATAATAGAGACATACAGAAGTATTTGCCGGTGGATTTTCACTAACTTTGAGTTTATGCATGGAAATGGATAACTAAAGAATATTCTTTACCAAAAACGGAGGGAGCGAGCAACTGCAGACCAGCAAACTTTATTATTCTCAGGAGATACACATTATTTAAGCATTAGCTTGGAGTCTCTAGAAAAACCACAAAGTAGCAATTGCAGACACCATAGAAGACATCCCTCAATCCCTGTCTCCAATATGAAACTGAAAGGGGAAGGAGATCATAGTATTCACCAGCCTATTACACCATCAAGAAGTCCCACCAGCAAAGGAATTATTTCCTGTTATTTTTCACTGTCATGACACTTCTCAAGCAATAGATGAAGGACAAAACCAAATCAGAAACCGTGCTCTCACTATGAGAAAACATGCTATATGCGTAACCTCCTCTTACTTAGCATAAAATACATGTCAAGTAGGGCAGTTTGTTATTTTCACAGAAGTCAGAAACTGCAGTTAACCTGTGAGCTTTTGTGAATGGCTTTGTCTTTGCTGTGGTTTTAGCTTGAATTAGCTGTCATAAAAATACTGTTGTGTGCTTTATGATCAGACAGCAACATTGAGTCCAGCTACAGAAAAAAAAACATGCTCTTTAAAAAAATAAATTGGTTTTTGAAAGAAAATATTCAGTTTTGTATATAACTCTTGCATTGTAGTAGAAATTTTAAAAAAGAATAATATCCTACAAAATAGAGTGAAAATTTCTTATTTTCTTCTTACATGATTGTACAGGTTTTTCCCTTTTTTTCCCCCATTTAATTGCATGCAACTTCTCCACAAGGCCATTTTTAACCTGGCTTTATAACATCATTTGGATAATTACTTTTATTTATGGTATTGTTTAGATTGCTGCAGAACTGCTGGAGGCTGGCCCCTGGAGATTACAGGTTTGCCAAGCATTGTGACTATCCTTTATTTTTATTTTTGTTGCTATTCTGTTAAATCATTTCGCCGTGGAATAACTTCACATCATGTTATGGTGGCATTTCACAATGCTGTTAAAATGCAAGCACATCCCTGAAATGTCATGTCAGAAGAACACAAACTATGTAAACATAGCAGGGTCAGTATGAATTCTATCCATATAACTTACATTTTATTGCTGGATAATCAATAGTTACATAGTTACAAATTATGACTTCTTTTAATCATGGGATTTTACTGTGTATAATCTGAGTCTCAAATCCACTGTAATTTGTTCAGTGTCTCAAAAATATTAGTGCCTGAAAAAGCTTGGACTCTGCACAAAGCACTTTGCAGGTGAACAGCTGATTGAAAGAATGTGACAGTAGACCCTGGGGCACCAAAAAAAAAGGTATGTGTTCATGTTTGTGGAGTGCCCACTAGATTTCATATTCATTTCCTACTCTACTAGTGTTAGAAACAGAAGTTTATGCCACAGTTTCACTGTGAGCAGGTGGCTCTCCGATCCTTTCAGAACAAGGGGCTATGCATATTTCAGTCAATGTCTATGTCCATGGGGACAGAAGAAATGGTTTGAAAAGTATTTCATTTTAGTAATACTCCTTCTTTCAGTTACAGATTAGATTATGAGCTTTAAGATAAGCTTTTTCTGAAATGTCAGTGTGCCTTTATCTATCTATCTATCTATTGAACCATAGAACCATACAATCATTTAGGTTAGAAAAGACCTTTAAGATCATCAAGACCAACCATTAACATGGCACAGCCAAGTCCACCAATAAACTACGTCCTTAAGTGCCACATCCACACATCTTTTAACTATATCCTAGGATCATGACTCGGAGATAGTTAAAAGATCAGGACATCCCTGGGAAGCCTTTTTCAGTGCTTAACAATTCTTTCAGTGAAGAAATTTTTCTTAATATCTAACCTAAATTTCCCCTGTCAGAACTTGAGGCCATTTCCTCTTGTCCCATTTCTTGTTACTTGGCAGAAGAGACCAACCTTCACCTTTCAGGTAGTTGTAGAGAACAATAAGGTCTCCCTGAGCCTCCTCTTCCCCAGGCTAATCACCTCCAGCTCCCTCAGACACTTCTCATTAGACTTGTGCTCCACAACCTTCACCAGCTTTGTTGCCCTTCTCTGGACATGCTCCAGCACCTCAATGTCTTTCCTGTTGTGAGGGGCCCAAAACTGAACACAGGATTTGAGGTGCAGCCTCACAAGAGCTGAGTACTGGGAGACAATCACTTCTACAGTCCTGCTGGCCACACTGTTTTTGATACGAGCCAGGATGCCATCGGCCTTCTTGGCCACCTGGGCACACTGATGGCTCATGTTCAACTGGTTGTTGACCAGTATCTCCAGGTTCTTTTACACCAGCTTTCCAGCTTCCCCAAGCCTTGAGTGGATTCTATCCGGCCCCATAGACTTGTGTGTGACCTCTAGCAGGTCACTGAGCTTTTCTCCTTGGGTTATGGAGGTTTTATTCTGCTCCTCATCTGTCTCTTCCAGCTCAAATAGCTGTACACACAGTAGAACAACTGGTCTTGCTATTAAAGACTAAGAAGGCATTATGTACCTCAGCCTTTTCCTCATCCTTTGTCACCTCCTTTACCCCCACATCCAATAAAGGGTGGAGATCCTTCTTAGCCCTCATTTTGTTGCTAACATATTTGTATAACTCTTTTATTATCCTTTATGACAGTGCCAGAGTAAGTTCTAGTTGGGCTTTGGTCCTTTGGTCACAACATCCTGGTAGTCCTTCTGAGTTGCCTGCTCCTTCTTCTAAAGGTGTTAGACCCTCCTTTTTTTTCTGAGTTTGAGCCAAAACTCTCTGTTCAGCCATGCTGGTCTTCTTCCCTGATGGAGTGTCTTTTGGCACACAGGTATGGCCTGCTCTTGCACCTTTTAGGTTTCCTTCTTGAAAATTGTCAAACCTTCCTGGACTCCTCTCACCTTCAGCACTTCCTCCCAAGGGACTCTCTGAACCAGTCTACTAAATAGGCCAAAGTCTCCTCTCTCAGAACTCCAAAATGGCAGTTCTGCTGAGCTCTCCCCTCTTCAGGACTGCTTTCCAAGGGACTTCACATTCTCTCTCTCTCTCTCTCTCTCTCTCCCTCTCTCTCTCTCTCTCTCTCTCTCTCGTGTCACAGACAGATTTGCTTACAGCCAAACTCTTCACACTTATGCAAGTAGAGAATCAGTGAATTCCCATCTCCATAAAGTTCTGCAGGATTACCCTTTCAGGAGGAAGAACCTAGAGCTTAGGCAGCACAGATCTCATGGAAATCCTATTACTCTACAAGGAAACTTAGCTTAGAGCTAAATATAATTACAGTGTCAAAGTATTAAATTATTGTAATGTTTTTAGCAACTAAAACCAAATCAGCTAAGTATTATGGATCAATTTATCAGAATTTGTCTCACATATAAATTCACTCAACAAGCTCCTACATTTTGTAAAGCCATAAACAGAGGGCATAGTTTGTTAAATGAAGACAGGCAGACAACAAATCTTCAGCTATGAGTTATATTTAAGAAATGACAAGTAAAATACCATTTTAGGGGATAAATGTTGTATTTCCTATATTGAGTTTTAAGCCAGGTCAGACAAATAGACTCAAGCTTATTCTACTAAATTTCTATCAAGAATTTCCTTAAATGCAATTATTCTGGCTTTTCAGTGGAAGGCAGCAGGATAAGGGGAAATTTTAAGATCATCACAACATACCATTATCCTTCCTTCTTGCAATTGGTAGATGTATAGAACCACAATAGTGCAAAACCAGCAAAAATTGATACAGGATGTTGAGAATCCTCTTTCTTAAAGGTGGAGAAAGGAAATGGCCTCAGTGCTCCCATTTTATACAGGAGATGATTGTAAACAGAAGCTTCCATCCCTTCATCAGAAAAATTTTAATGTGAGGACAAAGTTTTAGAAGGAGTTTTTCTCATTTTTAGCATTTGCTTTGGATAAATCTTCCCAAACACAGACAAGATCTACTACTGTGTCTTGGTAGACTACAATTTTTGTCCCCCAAGGCTATCGTCCATAGACAAAACATGAACATGTACAGTTGGCTGAAAATAAAAAATAGGAAAGCAATAGAGAAAACTATTTCCTAATCCAGTGAAGATTTATTATTTTATTCATCTGTTTGACTAGTTGTTTGCATTAAGCCTATGCTTATGCTACTTGAAAGGGGGAGAGAAAACTGCACAATCTACCATAATCTTTCTGTGGAATTTAAGCAATAAGAGGCAGCTGCAAGTTTTAGCTGAATGTATTTTGGGGTCAGTTGTGTTAGAATGAATATGTTTCTGCAGCTACAAGGCATAACCCTCTGTTTGAGTTCATCTCACCATGACCACATAAAATCAATCATCTACATACTCTTCATATTTAAGTGATATATTGTCCTGAATACATTTCATAGTAAGAACACACCGTAATGCACAGGTAAAGACAAGAGATGCTAATAAAATTAAGACAATAAAAAGCATCAAAAAATTATTTTCCACAAACTGCTGTTTCTAAAGTAATAAGTATTTCCATGGATTATTTTATTATATGAATATTATACCTGTTATTTATCTAGCTATTAGAGTAATATAGATGTATATATATTTGTATATGTGTGTGCAGATTCACACAGGTTAAAGAGAAAAGTATGCAGAGTTTTTACTTTATTTAAAGGCCAATGAAAATCATGAATCAGTAGAGCATTAGGGCTTTCCTAGTACAAGTTTTAAAAGAAGAAACATCTCAAATCTCTTTGTATTCAAAATATATTTCAAAACCCTAGAAGAAAAAAATCCATCTTTAGCATTATCTCGTTAATTAACACCTGAGGATAATCTGTTACTAAGAAAGGACAATTATTCAAAAGTAGGAGAAATAATTATTTCTGGAAAATGCAGGGAGTGATGATATAAATACTTGCAGAGAAATTACCTGTCCACAATGTTTATGGATGTTGGGCTGAAATCTTCATTTTACACTTTGCTTTTCTGTTCATGACTCAGTCCTTTAATTAGGATGGTCTGGTGGCATTTTCAGTACAGAGAAGCCAGTGACCCAATAAATCATATGGAACAGAGAGACAGAAGCAGGAGAAAGGGTAAATAATTTGGAGAAAAGCATAGCAACCACATATGTCCAATAATTCATTGAAAGGTAGAAACCTGAGCTTTGAGGAGAAGGAAAGGGCAACAAAAATCACAGTCCCTCCTCTTCCTTCGCATAGGTTCTGGGGATATTTTCATACACCTGGAGAAAGATTTTTAACGAAACAATGTTATAAAAACTTGTAATTTTTCATGTCCCCAAGAAATATCATAGAATCGTAGAATCACAGAATGGTTTGTGTTGGAAAGGACCTGAAAGATCATCTAGTTCTAACCCCACTGTCATGGGCAGGGACACCTTCCATTACACTAAGTTTCTCAAAGCCATATCCAATCTGGCCTTGCACACTTCCAGGGATGGAACATCCACAACTCCTCTGGGCAGCTACTTTCTAGTGCCTCACTAATCTTTGAGTGAAAGATTTCTTCCAAACATCTAATTTAAATCTCTCATTCCCCCTTGTCCTATCATTACATGTCCTTGTAAAAAGTTCCTCTCCCTCTTTTTTATAAGCCCCCTTCAAGGACTGAAAGGCCACAGTGAGGTCTCTCTGGAGCCTTCTCCAGTCTGAAAAACCCCAGCTGTCTCATTTTGTCTTTCCAGGAGAGGTGCTCCAGCCCTCTGCTTGTCTTCATGGCCCTCCTCTAGACCCACACTAACATGTCTGTGTCCTTCTTGTACTGAGGGCTCCGGACTTGGATGCAGTTCTCCACGTGGGATCTCATGAGAGCAGAGGGTCAGAATCACCTCCCTCGACCTGCTGGCCACTCTGCTTTTGATGCGGTCCAGGATGCAGCTGATTTTCTGAGCTGTGAGAGCACATTGTTGGCTCATTGTGAGATCCTGGATCCGAACCTCAATGAATTATCGATATGGGTCAGAACCAACTCACTGTGAGTGTGGGGAAGGGCTGGGCCTGGACCTGCAGGAACGTGGTAAGGCCTGAACATAGGGCCTGTGCTGAGGGCACAGGGCAGAGCTGAAGGCAAGGCCTGCTGCCCCCGCAGAGCACATGGCAGAGCTGAAGGCCCTGCAGCCGGGCTGTCAGTCAAGGCATACCTGCCTGGCAGCCCGCCCACACCACACCCCTGCAGCCTGTGACTGGTTACAGCTCAACTCCGTGCCATGGTCTAGTAACCACGGTGGTAGTCGATCAACAGGTGGACTTGATGATCTCAGAGGTCCCTTCCAACCCAGCTGATTCTATGCTTCTATGATTCACTCTGGCCTGGAAGGCACTGACTGAATATCCTGCCTGGGAGGGAAAACTGAACTCTATAAATACATGGAGACTCCATGTGAGCCTTCCTTCTCTCTCCTCCCTCTCCATCTGGCACCATGTGAATCATCGAATTTTGTTGGTAACCATTCTCCTCTCCTTTCTCTCTCTCCTTCTCTCTTTCTTCTCTCTTCCTTTACCCCTTTTAATCTGTTTTCTCCTGTTACTCTTTTCCTTCTCTTGTGGTTAACTTAAAACCAATGAATTGTGTTTTATTAAAGCTAATATATTGATTGGTTTTAGTGGGTGTTTTCTGCAGAATTTTTTTTTGTGCTGAATATTTTAGTAAAATGCTTTTCTTGGTTGTATTTTACTACTGTAAAACCCTTTTGCCAAAATATCTTATTTTTCTCTCTAAATTAAAAATAATTTCTCTTAGAGTATGTGACTCTCTCTCCAGATGCTAATTAGAGGTTATAACGAACCAAAAGGCTTTTGAAAAGTCTTAAATAAAAATGTAACTACTCTGGGCAGCTTACAGCTTAATCTGGAGTGTAACACTCATGTCCAGTTTTTCATCCACCAGAACCCCCAAGTCCTTCTCAGCACTTTGCACTTGGATTTGTTGAACCAGCAGTAAGACTACAAGTTGTTGTGAAGTAGGACATATATTTGCATATGTTTTCATATTGGTCATGTTCTCTTTAAAACTGGACAGGTTTGTAGTATTTGCCAATTCATAGTATTTGTAAAACATGTGACATTCTACCTTGCAGCATGAACCGAGACATTATTTCTATCTGTACAGCCAGGACTTTTGTCTGGCTGAATATCCATTATCTCCTATCCTGGCACCTGCAGACATTCCTAAATTAGGCTCTTCTTTGCCGCAGGTTCTTATGATACTGATGAGAAAGAAAGGCACCCCCAGAGAAAAATACCTTAGCTTTGATCTGAATCTCCCCCTGGAGATTCCTCTCTCTCCTTGCTGAGTATACAGGGAGCATCCATTACATATACTTTTACCTGCAATGCCTGAAGATAGGTGGGATGAATCAGGACCCCTGAGTATTTTCTTTCCCTGTTACGATACTTTATCTATTTGGTCTACTTAATCATAAACTCTCTGCAAGAGGGACTGTATCTTCTGTCTTTTCATATCAAGAAGCCTGGAAAAAAGACTTTTTAAAAATACTTTTTTGTTAATACATTTTAGAATTATATGAGATACATACTTCAGAGACAGCACTTGCATTTACGCTTATCAATAACTCTGTACTTTGAAAAACACATTCTTCATTAATTTTATAGTCTTGACTTAAAACCTTTCATTGACTTTAGTCAGAACAAGAATGGACACTTTTTCATTACATGAACATTTTATTCAATCAGCTGTGGAATAGTTGTAATTTTGGTTTATTAGATTTGGTGCAGCTAAATTGGAAAAGGGTGAAAAAGCAAGCTAAATTTTACATGTGTTTTTACACTCATTACTTACAATAATTCTTGGTGTAGAAACATTACAATATTTGAGGATCTGAGCTCTCATCAATCATTTACACCTGGCATCTGTTTGACAGCTCTTCATTAAAAAAATACCAAACCCCCAAACAAACAGAATGATTACAATTCACAACATTTTAGAAAGAAAATCTATCTAAATTAGAGACATTTTTTTTTTTATATGTGTCCTTTTATTACTGTTTACATGCATCAGGTTTTGCTATCTGATTTCTCAGGTAGTAGGACATTAATCCCAGCTGTAGGTCACTGCTGTATTTATGGCAGAGCAGAGCTTTTCAATCCCAATGCAGAGGTGTAAATCTATACTCTTAACATTCAAGACCATACTCCAGATACTAAGCTATATCCTACTCTTCTCAACAAAGTGTTCTTTCTTGAACAAAAAACTTTCCAGCTGAAATTTGCATGGAAACAGTTATGTCTTTATGGAACGCTAGGGCTTTCACCAGTGTATTTTGCCAAAATGTCATACAGGTGAAAATGTTCCAACCACTTGTAATGATACACTATATATTTAAATCTTCTTTAAAAGTCTGCCATGCAGATCTGCTAATGCTGTCATCCATAATTAAAATGTGTGATCAGGTTTGAACTCTAAAGTCCACCAAATATAAGCCTAAATTCTAAAGGCCCTTTTTCATAGTCAAAGAGATTATCAGGTATCACTTCACAGGAACACTCTTGCTGGAGCAAGCTGGATAATTTTGTAGAATAATCTCTAAAGGCCATGTAAAATTTAAGCCTTTAACAATCTTGAGGGAAGCTGTTTCTTTCTGATAGCAAAGACCTGGGATTTTTTAAAGCCAGTTAAAAGACTTATTATTTAACTTGTTTTAGTGCCATTATTTTAGGCTGCTTTGTTATAAATTCAACAAAGGCCTTACAGAATGATTTACAGTAAGGTTATCTTGAAACCAGAAGATGAGAAACTTTTTTAAAACAACTTTTTAAATTCTGACTTATGTTTGGTAATATCTCCACAAAAGGTTTAACAATATATCTTCACTTAATCTAGCATCAATATCATACCAGTCACAAAATTCTTAAATGAGAAGGACTAAGGAGATATTTAGTTGAAATCTACTACCAAAGGTATTAATCTGGACTTTCTGCATCCAATACACAACAAGCAGGATTGGTCTGGCTGCGTGTGAGTGGGGTGTGTTGTGAGTCAAGTGGGGCACCCATCGCTCACTGGAACCACTGCCGTGAAGGGGTTCCAGTACCAGCAGTGAAAATCTCTGGTGTTGATATTGAGACTGAGAGAGTCTCGTGGATGGTCAGACTGGGAAATTTCATTAATAGTGTGACCCCAGGTTTCCCACAGCAGGGTCTCAGATGTCTCATTCCAAAAGGCCATTTATTGACCGGGCAGTAACACAGAAACAGCTCGAATAGCTGCCTCTGAGGAGGGACCCCCAGCAAAAGAACACCTGGGCTTTTATACCCTCACAATCCAAGCATGCACAAGTCTCACTCTTCCTCCTGAGTCTTCATCTCCTTCTGTGTCTCCCAGTGTCTGCTCTCCTAAATGGTGTCATAGGTCTCCTTGCCCTTTGTTATGCAGAGGTTGGCTTTCCACAGCCTCTTGTCTCGGCGTCCCACCCAGAGCTCAATCTGCACCTCAGTCTGCATCCCACACTGTAGCTTGTAGAGGGCGCTACCTGCGTCAAACATATTCCTCTCAATGACAGATATGGGGGTATTCACTAAATCTTGGTAGACTATTATCAGTTCAGGAATAAACTTATTTTTAAAATGTAATAATGCATCTTGGGGTCCAGACAAAGAGGCAGTACTCAGAATCTTGCATACTAAAGCAAAAATACTGCAGTTCGAAGAAATTTAAGTAGAATTATTATCAATTTCACAGAATATGGCTGATAATTCCAATATCTCATTTGAGTTATATAATATACTTTTTACTTTATAAAAATCTCCAAGCAGGTTATGAGGTTTTGAAAGATCAATCCTCTCTTCTTAAAAAATCTTACTACAAATTTAGATTAATTATCAACACATTTGGCAGTAATTGTTATTCTTACATCACATTGTATTAAAGAGAAACACGTTAACATTCTAGAAGAATTACGATATGTCCCATTTGTTCCTTTCCTTTACCTGTTCATATTCCTCCAATGGAAAGGCATTCCAAGAAATTTTGTGGAAACTGTAGCGGTTTGGACTTTGTTTTCCCCCAGAGGTTAGGAAAAGTGGTAGACCCCAAGGGGTGGAAACCCCTGGAAGTTTTGAAGTTCTGCCCAATGGGCGCTCCTGCAAAAATGTCAACATTCCACAAGCTCACCGGAAGAAATGAGTTGTAGTTTGGTTGTAGGAGAGGTGGCCATGTTGTAGAGCCACGAGGTAGGGGTTCTGAGCCCCTCGGGGCCTCTGGGGCCTCCCAGCCCCTGGCTGGGGGGGACTGCAAAGACTTGGAACAGTGTTAGACTGGGCTAAGTGTTTGTGGTTAAGCTGGGAGATGTTTTCTCCAAACTGGGCAGCGGAGACAGAGCAGAAAGCAGAGACGCAGCGTCCAGAGACTGGCAGAGAGCCAGGATAGATAAGACCTGAACCGGAGGAGCAGCAGGAACAACATGCAGCACTGCAGAGAAGACTCCTAGAAGGAGAGCCGAGGAAAAGAGAGCCAGCAGCTGAGAGACAGAGTTCTGGGGGAGAGAACCATACCACACTCCCCCAAAACTCCCTTTAGACCCCTCTTGGAGAAGAGGGACATGGACTCCTATTTTGGAGAGCAGTTTTAGACATGCAGCACCAGAGAGAGAGAGAGGAACTAAGAAGCTCAAAAGACGTCCCGGAGCTGGACCAGGACAGCCAGATGGAATGCGGGGGGAGTTGACCTTGGCTCCCCCCTCACACTGCTGCCACGGTGGCAGCCTGAAGGCAGGGCACAGAGGCCCTGCAAGGAGCTTGAGTCTCCTGGAGATACCAGACCGTCACAAAGACCCCCCTGTGTCTTCGTGATATGACCGTGGTGAAACGACCTTGTCTGGAGTTACGAAGCCCACAGAAGACCCCTTTGCCTGCGTCAAGGGGGCCGAGGGAGCTTGGATACCTCCCTCGTGAGTGCTGGCAGAAATCCAGCTATCAGCTGCTGCATGCATGAGATGAGGAGAACCTGCTGCCTTAGAAGAT